TGGATTTACTGGTGAGTTCTTTCACATTTCTATGGAAATCGTGTTCCAATGTCATGTGATCTAGCTCAGGATCACACACTAGGATGGAAGGTGTCCCAAACTGTGTTACATAGTGGCAAAACTCTCACTCTTGGACAGGTTAGTGAAAATACATGTATGGTCAACGTCACGCACAAACTTAGATTCAGAAACTGTTTACAACAACTGTAGAAAGACCAACATTTGAAAAATTGATAAGGAAAACAAAGTTCAATTTCTAAATCATCACAGGACCCCAAAGATCCTACAATACCCCCCACCCCCCACCACTGGTCCTGGGACCAAACCTGAATGCCTGCTGCAAGTGTGGCTCAGGACATCTCTTCCTCATCATTCTCCACCCCTTTGGATAGATTTAGGAAGAAACTGAGATCCTTGCTATTGACCCCAAGCAAATAATCCAGGAAATTGAACTTGGTGGTTTCAGCGTGGGCCCTGGGACCCCACAGGAACTCGTAGCGAGCAGGATCACTGTTGGCAACCTGCCTGTACTCCACATACTCTTCCTGCACCCAAACACTAGTGATGAGCTCCCTGGGCTCCCCATAGATGCAATGCTCCCTCCCATCGTGCACCCCCATGCCATTCAGGGCTTTCCAGACTTCCTCCTCAGGGGCACAGTCGCCCTCCACGAGAATCACACACAGGAGCATGACCAGGAGGCCAGTGTTGGGCAAAACGGGCCCTTCGCCCACCATCGCATCATAGGTGAAGCCCCCAGTGGTGACCAGGAAATAAACGCCGTCGCTGGGGTCCACTTCCTTCACCTCAATGCCAAAGAGCAGCCTCAGGCACTGTGAGGCTCGGCCGAAGATCTCAGGGAAATGGTCCTGGTGCTCCTTGATGACGCGACTCAGCATTTCTGACTTGGTGGTCGGCTCCCTTGCACGATACTTCAGCAGCAGGAACCTCACCAGGTCGAACACCTTGCAACGCAGTGCCTCTCTAAGAAAGGACTCAGCGTTTCCCGGGTCCTGCCCGGTGCTTGGCCCCTCCCCAACTTGATTGCTGGAATTCTCTTCCTCGGATGGGCTCATTGGAGCGGCCTCCATGGCAGCTGGCAAGGGACCGGCACCCTGTGGGCTATGGGGGGGACTAGGTGTCATAGCATCAGGCACCTCATCTGGGCTATCAGGAAACAACACAGAGGGGGTGGAAGATACGGAGGAAGAGGGGGACACGGTATTATTCTCCTCTTCGGACACTAATAGCAGCTCCTCGAACAGGTTTTGGTTCTCTATTGGAACCAGACGATCTTCCCCATGCTTGGAGAGCTCATTCATCTGACTGAGAGGCATGGTGACTGTTGATGAGACAGCGACAGAGGAGTGTGGGCGGACGGTGGTCGGTGGGGACCCACGCCTGGGGGAGAAACAGAGTGTGAGCGACCTCACCTGAGAAATGCACCTCAGGCGGCTCTGAGGAAGGCGACTTACAGGTCTCCTCTTTAGGGTGCTCTCGGGCCTCACAGCAGTCTCCTGTTTGGGCGTCCCGTCCGCTAAGAACCTGAAGCAACAGGTGAGACGGCTCCTCAGGGTGCAGCTGGCACAGTCCATGCTCGTGCGCTGACAGTATGGTGGGTAGATTTGGAGACTGTGGGGTCTCCTTTCCTGGGCTGTGGGGGACCCACCGGGTACACATTCAGGGTGGGCACCTCACCTTACTTCCTGGCAAGGCCTGGCCTGCCTCTGCTCTGCGAATGAGGACACGGACCTCCGACCAAGGCCTGCACCTACTGGATCCAGCAGCCCCTGCAAGACAAAACCAAGGGGGACCTTAACGTGCAGATGTCCAGCAAAGCCTGGGGCCCCAGTGCTGTCAGGAGAGGGTTCCAGACTCTGGGAGATACCCTCTCTTCCGGGAAGGCGGTCCTCTCCTTGCTCGTTCAGGATGCCCATGTTTCCCCAACCAGGCCTGGCCTCCTGTCCCCTGCTGGCCTGAGGCATAACACTGAGCACTGATACATGCACCCCTGAGACGGAACGGAAGGAAACGTGGGGCCTCACAGCTGAATGCATGTGCCCAGAGCCTCCCAGGGGGTCAACGAGGGGTCACCGAAGTGTTAGGTCCACTTATCCTGGGACACGTTCCCATCATACGTCTCCCTGCAGGTCCTAGACAATCCCTTCCTGATCATGAGGGGTCTCCAAAGGTTTGGATCCATGTACCCTGCGATGGGGTTCCGACCATTTCTTCGTATGTCTCCTTGCAGGTCCTAGACAACGCCCTCCCTTTACTGAGCCCACTCTCCTTAAAACAAGGCCTCCTCTCCATTAGACACCGGAATAGGAAGTGGTCGGAGCCGTTCCACACACTCTTCCCAGTTTCCCCACAGCTGACGGAGCAGGCAGGCCAGGCCTGGGCTCCCAAGTGTTCTGATTCCCCTTAGTCCTCACCTTGATTCCTGTCAGGGCTTGAGATCCCACCCATGCTGACCTGAGTCCACGCCTCAGACCAGGGCCCTCCCCTCTCTGAGACCACTGATCTGGGACTGAGGATGTATTCGGCTTGACAGCACTGCCCAGGGTTTCCAGGGCTGAGGGTCAGAGCAAGGCAGATTTCTCTAGGGCTCCCTCTTTGTTCTGGGGTGAACTCACTCGTCCCTCAGGGTCATCACCTTGATTCTTAGCAGGATCTGGTCCTCCTCTCTCTGTGGAACAGATGTGGCTTCTGGGGATGGGCTGATGTAGTCCTTAAAGACCAAGGTCCTCACCGTCCTGAGAGCTCAGAGAAAAATAAGAAATAACCCCTTCTCCCCCTCCTCACACCCCCAGATAACCCAGGACCAACAGCATGCTGGCCCATCTTTTCTGGGGCACGTAGTCACTTTAGATTGTCCACCAGAAACTTTCCTTTATTCCTGCCTAGTTCTGGGCTGACTACCTGCTGACCTGTTATCATACATAATGAGAACACCTCAATGAGAACCATGTGTCAGAAGGGAGAGATGACATATCCAGATACTCTTGTTTGGGCCCTCTTGAGGATGAGGACCGAAAATCCCAGATGTGATGAGATTGCTTACATTCCCAGAAAGCAGGTAGCTGTGGTTCTCCCCAAGTAAATGTTCTGACCCTTTCAACCCTGGCAAAACCTCGACTCCTCTATTCACAACTGGAACTCATCCCTTAAAACCAAGGCGCTCACCTTCCTGAAGACCCTGGGAACGTGAGGGGGAACCACCTCCGCACACCCACGTCAGGGGGCTCCTAGGCCTGCCAGCAGCACAGAGTGGGTTTCAGCGGGTCCCCCTGGTCTAGGGTCGTGGTAAAATCGGTCCACCCCAAGCTACCCCTGTCACTCACACAGGGCCTGGGCCCTTTCCCTTCTGCTGCCCTGAGGATGCAGAGGGGAGGCCAAGGCACCATGTCTCTTAGCTATCCACGCAATGAGGAAGCGGGGGAGGAGTCTCCTTCAGACTTCCTGCCAGGACTCCCACAGCGGACTGCAGGGGTTTTCTGGTATATATTGCGGGGAGCGTTTCTGCCTAGTGTGGAACCCCCAGTCTTACCTCAGTGTGATCACCTTGAAGTCTGTAGGGCCTCGGACTCCACCCCCTAATGAAAGGAGTTGCAGCCCTCAGACCAAGGCCCTCATCTCGCTGAGACCTGCCAGGTGGACTTCAAGTCATAGCACATCTTGTACCAGGCCCTGAGGAACTGACCTGTCTCAGCAGGGCCTGAGCCGGCTGGTATGTTTTTGCCTGGGTGGGAGGGGCCCTCAGGATTGCCTCAAAGCCCACACTGTGTTTACTGGCAGGCCTGGGACCCCTCCCCTCGTTGCCCTGCGTCCAGCTCCATCAGGCCAATGCCCTCACCTCCCTTAGCCACTCCTTGGGTAGAAACATAAAAACAACCAAAGCCACAGCCTTGCCATGAGGCACCCCTGTGTTGATGGCAGGGACAGGGCACAGGGGGGCCTCTTTAATGTGTGCAGGGGGCCTCCTCCTCCTTTCCCCGGTCCTCACCTTGGATCTTGGCAAGTCTGGACCCACTTCCTCTGCCTACCTGGATGCCGATCCCTCAGACCTCTGGTGCCAGCGTCCCTTCTCCTCCCTTAGGGTCCTCCCCTTGACTCCCAGCTGGACCTTGGCCC